AATGGAAAAGCCCGCAATTTGATTTGTTCTTCGGTAACTCCATTAGAACACATGCTTGTGCATACGACGTGGAACTCCGAGAGGTGTTTATTTTGATGCTCCCCTCTTAACACATGGAAGGAAGGAAGTAGATGAATCAGCCCAGATTTAAGCTCAAATGTATTACCTTTGTTGAGTGTAGGGAAGGTAATACACAGTGGTTTTTTATTCAAGTTTGGAGTTGTGAGCTCCCTCAGTGTTCTTGTTTCAAGAGCCATGTGAAACGACTCTTCGGATTCGCTAGAACTCAAGCTAGCGGTGGATGAATCTCTGGTAGATGATTCCTTCGAGTCGGTGTTTGAAAATTTACTTTTCAACCGCTCGAAAGTTTGTTCTATTTCGGGGTTTGATTGGTAGGTGATTTCGTTCAGTGAACGATATTTAACCATATACTTCACTAAGCTCAGAAATAGAAGAATGAGAACTCTTTATATTTTGTTTATTATTATTAGTGGTTTTTTTTTTACTTTTCTTGAAATGAAATAAAAGAAAAATTATTGCCTTTCCCCGGCAACGGCGCCAAATTTAACGTGCACTTGTCGTGAGGTGCACTCAAAATAAATACAATACAACGAATATACGTAGTATAACGAAGTAAGGTTCGTATCCACAGGGAAAGGAATACTTTTCTTTTATATGAATAGTAACAAGGGGGTTTTGATTGGGTGATTAAAAATGTATTTAAACATTAAGATGAACAACTTATATGAGTTTAATTAATAGAGACGAGGACTTGGTTTTGCTTTTATCCACTTAATGAAATGTTCGTCGATCCCGGTTATATCTTTAACTATCTTCCTCTCGAATACTCAATCGAGGAGTATATCCAGTTCATCGAGGGTAGTTATTAATAACGAGACGCGTTCATTAATAAAACTTACTACCGAGTCAATATAGAACACGCGTCGTATATTGTCCCGATAGTAGCAATAAACTTAAGATGAAAACGATTGAGATTGATAACCTCAACACAAGCGGTTTATTGGTTTAATCAATATAATTAATCCCCCTTAGATTATTAACCATGAGACGCATGCATTAATAATCCAAGTTTTACTACCGTTGAAAGAACCGAATTAATAACAAGCGTATTAATCGATTGATTCTAGTAATAATTAATATATGAAACAAAACTAGTTGATCCTTTAAGTAATGCTCAAAATATTAATATGGAATATGAATAGGAAATAATTAATATTCAAGGAAGAAGATTAAAGAAAATAACTCACAACTTACAAATTCATTAAGCTTCAAAGTAGCAAAACCAAGATGGAAGAGTTTAGCTCCTCATTTGGAGACTAAACGTGATAAAAATATAAAGAAAGTACTTATCTAGACTGAGCTTAGAAGTATATAGAAATTGGTGTCTCATTGTGAAGGAAAGGAGGTGTATTTATAGGCTCTTGGGATGCAGCTCGGGTACCCGATCGGGTATGTACACGGTACCCGATCGGGTATGTGTAAAACGTCAACTTCGAAGCATACTCGATCGATTCTGGCTATATTTTATATGTATACCCGATCGGGTGTGCTTTTATACCCGATCGAGTATGTGTAGAAAATGATATTCGAGCTATACTCGACCGGATTTGGGGTTTAAACTCAAAGGCATACTCGATCGGGTATGTCGGTCTACCCGATCGGGTATAGACACTCGATCGTGGTCAAAATCTTCTCTGCATGTTCCTTTGTCTTCGGATCGGATCCGATTTGAAGCTTCAACGAGATACCCGATCGAGTATAGATGATACCCGACCGGGTATAGGCCAAAAATTCAGGATCCTTATTTTGTTTTGAGATTATGCACCTTTCTTCCACTTTTTGGGGTTCACCAACTGTCCTTTGAGTGATCAAGACCTATTTGAGCTCAGAATGAACCTAATCTAAACAATTTACAAGATTTTAACAAACTAAACTATTACACCAAAAGTGTGTAATTTCCAAAGTAAAAATCAATCAAAACTAATTAAAAAATACAAACATACACATGGAAATTACATGATTATCAATATTATGATTATTCAAAGACACAATTTCCAGCAAGACAGAGGAAGAGCGCAGGCAAGAGTATATTTTCTCGAGCAGATTCGCACGCTCACTACTCAAGAAATTGGGGGACTTGTGTTGGAATATATATTATCCCGGTCTATTACTGTTTAGGAGCCCAAGACTTCACATAGTACGGAGCCCGTTCAGTAAGGCCCGTTTCGGCCCATTTTGGCCATCCAGCCCAGCAGGCCCGTGTTTGGCCCATTAGAGCGGAGAGCACCCTTCTCCATTCCCCTATAAATATGAGGCTTTCCCACATGTTTAGGGATCCCCTTCTCTTCTCCTCTCTCTCTCTAAATAGCTAGTTTAAATACCCCATTAATTGGAACTTGTATAAGGTATTGGTAAGGAGAGGATTAATAAAATGAGCGGGCTTGGACATAAGCCGAAACAATCCCGTGGTTTTTTTCCTTTCCGGGTTTCCACGTAAAATCAGAGTGTTCATACCAAATTATATTTATATTTATTATATCGTGTTGGATTAAACTCAACGCATCTCAATTAAACATCTCAATTAAACAAAAAAAAATCTAGATACTGTCAATCGTAGTTATATGATAATAGAACAAAAACAATATTATTCAATATAAAGATGAATGAAAAAGTATATATATATATATATATATATATATATATATATATATATATATATATGATCATCAAAGTATTAACGAATATTATATACGACAAACTTAATGAATCAAATCACAAAGAGGAACGGGGATACAGATAGTGGGGCAGATGAATACCTCATAAGTGTAAAAATCAAGAATACTATTTTTTAGATAATTTTCAGATTCATCCTCCATTGTATAAGAAGATTGTAAAAAATTATAAAAGCATTAGTAATGGGTTCCAAATATTTATATAGTAGTTGTGTGATGGTAGTTAGAGAGTGTAATCCTAATTGTATTAGGAATTTAAGTGTATTTGGAAACATGTAACACAAAATTTAGGAAATATTAAAACTTTGTTTTATTTTAAAGAAGCAAGGCACCCATTAAAAAAATCAATACGGATCAAAGATGCTTCCTAATTATTCCCTTCAAAATAAAAAATGCTTTCTAATTATTAGGGAAAAGAAACTAGGTGCGCCTAGCACTTCGTATGTGAGCAAGGACATACATGTCCATCTTTGACAAAAAATAGGTGCGCATAGCCATTTTGGTGGCGCGCGGAGCACGAGCGAAAAGAAAATAGAAAAACAAAAAGAAAAAGGAAAAGGAAAAAATAAAAGTATTGTCATGTGAGCCTCCACAGTACCGGAGTTACGACTGTTTACTGCTCAAAAGACACATTTTGTTAATTTTTCGAATTTGGTGGACTTCATTGATTAGAACAATAGTAAAAGGATCCAATTGCTATTTACTCTTTACGTAATGATTTTTATGGACAATATGGTGGTGCACACTCCTCCCCAAAACAACTTGCTTCTTCATCTAATGGTTATGGTCCTTTATTTCACCAATATCCAATTTTTTAAAAAAAAAAAACCTATGTCAACTGTCTCAACCCTGTTAGAGTCCGACACCGGAAATGTTTGAATCAACGAAGTGCTATATTAAGACATGGGCTACTCCTCCTATCAGGTTGACCTTTTTTGATGGAATCCCGGGTCTTAACATGGTATGAGAGGCAAATCGATCCATGATGTGGGTCCCCTTATGAAAAATGATTAACTCTGTTATAAAAAATGACAATGATGAACCGACGAAAAAAATGAGTGACGACACGATCCAGACGAATAATCTGGTCGTGAGGAGTGGTGCTAGAGTCCCACACCGGAAATGTTTGAATCAACGAAGTGCTATATTAAGACATGTGCTACTCCTATCAGGTTGACCTTTTAGGATGGAACCGAGTCTTAACAAAACCGTAGCATTTCAAAAAACTCAATTAACGAGTTTTCTTTATATCTAACGTTCCGTGCGAGTATGAAGATGAGAAAGCCTTTGACATTTTCAAATGGTGAAAAGACAAAGAAGCGATATTGTTTTCTACGTAGTATTTTTTTTAACAATGGTGAAACAAAAGTCATATCCATGTCCGTTTAAATGGTTGCTTAAATGGTTGCGTGGAACAAGAGTTTAGTGAAACCAGGAACGTTCTAACAGATTATAGAACGAGGTTGAGCATACAATCTCTTGAGACACTTGTATGTTTCCATGATTGGTTGAATGCCAGTCGGCGAACACAAAAACTAAACATAGCACAGACCTGTCATTTCATGGAGGAAATGACATCCAACCAAGGAAGCAAGAGTTCCGAAGAGTAAGAGATTTGTAATGTGTTAGTATTGTTGTCTACATATTTAGTTTAGCTTAATTACAGTACAACTCAATTTAATTTTTACTATACATATGTATTAAATGTTGTCTCTATGGTTTAATACATGAGTAAGAATGCGTACATCCGACCCCACTAGAATAATGTTGTTATTGTTGATATGTATTCCATTTTAATGTATATATTAAATTGTTTTTATATTAAATAACTTTAAAAAATGAAACTGGGACCGGACCCGACTACTGGACCATCCGCAACCAGGTTAATACCTGAGTTGGACTGGACGAGGTTGAGGGTGGGCTGAGGCCAGAGTCCACTGATCTCAGAGCCCAAGTTCAGTATGTTGAATATATGAGCCATATCCGTAATGTAAAGCCCTATATATAGGCTCAGAAATCCAGACCCATTTACATCCCCAAATTGTATAGTGGTGCTGAAGGGATAAAAACTTTGAAATAGGGAGCTTTAGAAGATAAAGAATCTCAACAAATACTCCGCATATATAATATAAGACCGATACAAATATTCCTAATGCCGCATGAAGATTCACAGCCAGTATAATTCTTAATTACATGGTTTGCAAAGTTAACGACGGGGTCCATTATAGTTAGAAAAGTTCTCTCACACACACACACACTAGATCCTTGGAGTAATGGCAAAGGTTGGATATTTAATTTCCTTACTTTTCTCATGTCATGTTGCTTTCTGAGCATTTTTGGTAGTAAATACATGCACAGCAAGCAGGAGAGAAAGGACAGCAAAAACCAAAAACAATATTCCAACAACAAACAACCTGTTACACAAAGGGGGTGGGGGTTACATAACAACTTACTTACATGGATCAGTTTAGGGGGTGGAAAGGAGTTTTCTCAAAGGTCTCATACGGGTCCTGGCCGTTTTCTCCCGTACGTTTTCAAATTCATCATCTCATACATATATCCCTCTGCCAACTTTTTGGCTTTGTCTGCCTCCCTCTGTTTACTCTTCATCTTGGCCAAGAGTCTTCTGTTCTCCAGCTCCAACTCCACAATCCTTTTCCGTTGGAGTTCTATCTCATGGTTCACCTGCACCGTGTATCTCTCCTGCAAACCCGCAGCACGCACAGCAGCACCATAGGCAATGACTTCATCCGGGTTGATGCTCTTGCATAGGTTCTTCCCATCGAAGAAGTCTTGCAGCAATTCTTGGATCTTAGAGATCCGAGTAGATCCACCAACAAGGACAACATCATCGACATCGCTCTTATCCAACCCAGCATTAATCAAAAACCACTCAACCAGCTCCGTACACTTACTAAAAAAATCCATGTTCAGATCCTCGAACTTCGTCCTTGTGATGGTCGTGTAAAAATCAATACTCTTATTGAAAAAATCAACTTCCATTGTGACCTGAGCAGAAGAAGATGAACTCCTCTTTGCTTTCTCATGTGCTGTCCTCAGCATCATGGACCTTGCAATGGGTGAGTCATACTCAATACCCTGGAACAACGAATCAAGTCCAATGGTAGCCTGGACGCTGCCTGACAAGATCTTCTTTGCCCTCTCGCAGGCTGACCTTAGTCTCTCCAAAGCCTTGGGGTTCTCACTGATATCCTTTTTGTGCTTCCTTTTGAACTGCTGGACAAAGTGGTCAACCATTCTGTCATCGAAATATACACCTCCCAGGAGGGTGTCACCTGAAGTGGCCTGAACCTCAATGTATCCATCTTCTATCCTGAGCAGAGAAACATCACAACTGCAACTTCCAAGATCAAATATGAGCACATTCTTCACCCCAGAGCTTGCTTTCTTGTCCAATCCGTATGCAATTGCAGCTGCGGTGTGTTCATCGATGATGGCCATAACATTGAGACCGGAAATGATTCCAGCATCTTCTGTGGCATTGCATTGAGAGTAATTGAAATCAACAGGGACAGTTAGCACTGCATTCTTGATTGTTGTTCCGACACAGGCCTCTGCAATCTCCCTCATCTGTGTTAGAACCATTGAAGAAATTTCCTCTGCAGAAATTTGCTTCTCCTTACCATTGTAGGTCACTACCATCATTGGCTTGTCACAAGGCCCGGCAACCACCTTGAAGGGCCAAAACTTCATGTCACTCTGCACTGAGGGGTCACTGAATCTCCTCCCTACCAATCGCTTAGCATCTAAACGAATTCAAATAAAAGATCTTTCAAGTTTAAATCAGATTCTATCAATGAAAAGAGCTGTTGGAAATTTTGGAGTGCATACAGCATAATGAGCATACTAATGTACACTGAATCTCATGAAGATATGTACTTTCTCTTTCTTTTTTAGGTGCAAGATTCCCATTTTACATTTGGCGAGGCACAACTTTGACCGTCATTACACTTAATTCTCTATTAGTAAAAAAAGTTTATAAATCAAATTATGAAATGTAGTCAAACTTGAAATGTAGAACATGTGAATAGTGTAAAATTATCTATGTTGCAACTAAAAGAAACAGAAAATAGTACTACATATATATCAATAAATATTTATAGTTTGTAAAAAAATGTGGCTCCACGATAAACAAACTTTCAAGCTCTAATCCCCTAACACTACATTTCAATCTCTATAATAAAAATAAAGTAATTGCCCTAAATAGAAGTAAAACATAACAGCAATGTAAAAATAGAACTGTACATTTTTTTTTCTCAAAATATGAGTTTCAATTCTCATCCTACCCGTCCTCGTATTTTTATTTTCTCTTCCTTCTAACACACCAGCCCCTCTTTCTTCTCCTCTCCTTCCTCTCCCTTCTCTCCTCTTCGTGCTCGCATCTCGTCCCTCTAGCATATGAATGAAAAGTCATAAGGTTGTTTTTACTTGGACTGTAATTCCTCCCAAACAAGACCAAACCAGACTTGGATAGTTATAAAAATACAAAGAAACCAGACCAGACCAGTTCAGACCAGACCAGCAAAGTCCAAGTAAAAACATCTTAAATATATTTTTAAATGGTTAAATATAAGAAGTTATTAATTAAAATCAAATTATATATTCTAAAACATCAACTTAAATATTCCAAAATTATATACATCAATTAAATTACTTTATTTTCACCAAAAAAGGAAAAATAAGACACGATTTTATTAAAAGAAGAAGTGAATAGTAAGTGAGTGTCCAAAAACTAGGAATGAATTATGAAACTTTGATGTCTAATATGAAATTCACATGCAAATGCGTACCAAAGATGGTGTTAGTGGGGTTCATGGAGATTTGGTTTCTGGCGGCATCACCAATGAAATGTTCAGTGTCCGTGAACGCGACGCAACACGGCGTCTTTTTGTTCCCAAAGGTGTTGGCTATGATATCTACACGTTCATTTTGGGGTCGCCACACTCCGACGCGGGAGTACGTTATACCTAAGTCGATTCCGATCGCCGGAGTTTCTCCTTTTCCGCCCATAACTTTCTTTCCACAAAAACCCTATCAGTACATCAAAAAACGAAGCATGAAAGTACAGAAAATGGAAGAAATTACCAGCGGGCGTTACTTCCTGACCTTATCTCTGGTCGACTTTCCGGTTGCACGGCGCTCCCTCTGGTTTTGGAGGAACTCCGCTTTCCAACTGTTGTTTAAGAGAATGGGAAAAAATATTGTGTTTTTGAACGCTTCTGGCTTCACTGGCCTCTTTTTTGTTGAAAAAAACCAGGTGGTAGAAAACAGACAATAGAGTGTGTTTAGGAATCAAATAGATGTATATATACACGATATAATTGCCGTTGGATTTCAATTACAATTGGATTTTGAATTATAAGTGACACTTCTTTAATTGGTTTTGGAAGTTGAACTAGTGCATGCAGTTTTAATTTAACATCGGATAGTGTTATTAATTTTATAACAGGCCTCATATTGCATGCAATTAAAACTAGTATGCCTAAAAAATGGGGAAAGAAACCTAAAAGTTGAAAATAATCTTCAAATAATCCAGCTTTTGAATTTGATACCAGATCTTTTTATCAAATAATCTGTTCAAATAATCCCAACATCTCAATTCTCAACCATAATCTCAAAAAATATCATCCGCATCATCAAAATAATCTATAAATAATCCTACATTTGATATTTTGATTATTTTATTTTTGTTCATATATGATCTTTCCGTCAACATTTTCGGTTGTTAGAATCACTCAAAAAGAACTATAAATGGTCAAGAAACATTAGTCAAGTACAAAAAATGAATAAGTGAAATACGTGGACTAAATGTGGAATTAACATAAAACTCAAAGGACCAAGAGTGGAACTAATTGTTAATTCCGTACACTTTTTCCATGTATACCCCTATTCGCCCGTCTCTATAGGATGTTTTTACTTGGACTATTTTCAATCCTAGACCAGACTTAAACAGACCAGATCAGATTTAAACAGACCAGACTTAAACAGACAAGACAAGACCAGACTTGACTTCCGTAGTTATAAAATACACAAAAATCAGACATTTACCAGATCGGAACAGACCAAATTTAAACAAACCAGACCAGATCAAACTTAAACAGACCAGACCAACAAATTATAATCCAAGTAAAAACATTCATAGTCAACTCGTTACCATAAAACAATATACACTAGTCACTAGTGCAAAAAGCCTTATACGCGTCGGTTCTAGAAATAAAAAATAATTGGCGGTGATTTTTATGTTAAAAACCGACGCGCGTGTGGAATAAATGAAATTTAAATTGCGACGGGTTTTATACTAAGAACCGCAGCATATGTCATAGTTTAATTTAAATCAATTTAAGACACGGCGGTTATTACTATTAGAACCGCCACCTAATGTTTAATTTTTTAATTTTTTTTCTCGATTTATACAATTTCCCGTTTGATTTAAAATTAAACCATATCATATCCATCACTCGAAAATTTAAATAAAAGCTACTTACTGATATAATGAAAGATCCACCATCAATATCTCTTAAATTACTACAACATAAACATAATTCAAAATACATTTGTAAGCTACTTACAAATGTACTCCAACTGCTACTACATAAGTTTACATTTACACCACATCACCACCATCATTTCATCAACAAAATACCTACACCAAATATTACGAATTTCATCGATCTCTTCTTTTGAATAGGATTCTCCATTAATTAAAATCGATCAATGTAATGCATAAACATATATATATACACACCTTGAAGAATTTCTTGTAATCACATAACCAGATATGCTATTGTCTTAAATATATTCTTGTTTGCTGCAAAATTTTGCATACCCTTTGTTCGCCCACTCAAGTCCATGATAATTTTTAACCGTGAAATACTTTCTACCCCTCTTGTCGATCCCATAATCGACAATCAAAACAACGTGATCCAATTGAGATTTCTCTTTTCATTATTTGCGGACGACGATGAAGAACATGTCCGGTTCATTGGTCCTTGGTAGAGTTCATCCTTCTCATATGGCAGCAAATATAATACATCATTACAGAGTTACGAAATATTTTAGTTACAAAAGCACGTACTCTATTCATAGCAATTAGAAAACAAAGTTAATTACTCAAAAATAAACAATAACATACTAATATTAACAATGATAAAAATAACAACACTAATATAATAATAACAAAAATAAATCAATACCTTTTTAATTTGAATAAATTCTAGTGGAAAATCATATGTTGCAAACACAAGAGTTTTTTGGTCGAAGTGTTTGACACTTCATTACCGTATCATTCACAACAAAGTTATCCACCCAACTTTGAAATGCTAGTAAAAAAAGATTATGATAAAATCTATTCCGTACAAAAAAAACATTCAATAAACAAATGCATAAATTAAAAAACATTCAATACTACTAATAAACAAGTTGTGATGTTCACACGTATATAAATACGAAATATATAATATGCTAACATGTGACTTTGAACTCTGATAATGTTGGGTATTTATAGTGAGGATTGTATGGAACATGTCTTGTTGAAACGATGACACCTCTTTTCACTTTTCGGTCGGTAAGCCATTTCGCAACCTTCTTCAGAGATGATACAGACTCTTTACAATCTCTTTACAATCTGTTGTCACATTGTTCACCGAATCTTGTGGTGAAAACAATTGTAGGTTGTTCAGATTTTTGAAGTTGTGCAGGCTTCGATTGAATGAGCAGTAGCAAAAGCCCAACAATGACCTGAACATAAAAATTAAATTTATATACAAGTATACAAGATTAATGTAGTAAAGATAAAATAACTTCATGCATCAAGAATCTTTTAAAATTAATCCATATTCTTTATTGGGTGTTCTTAATTTTACACTGTTTATTAACTTTTGAAATCATAAAAATTTTAAGTATGTATACGTTGACTAGAACATCGATTTCTAACATGTGACTAACAAAATGAAACATATTCATGTCTATTTTAATATAACAGTAATTAAATGGGGGACACACGATGAAGAAGATGTTATAGACACCTTCAAATAGACATGAATATGTTTAATTTTGTTAGTCACATGAGTCACACGTTAGAAATCAATGTTTTAGTCAACTTATACATACTTAAACTTTCCATGATTGCCAAAGTTAAAAAACAGTGTAAAATTAATTACATCCAATAAAGAATATGGAGTAATTTTAAAAGGTTCTTGGATGCATGAAGTTATTCGATATTTACTACACTAATCTTGTATACTTGTATGTAAATTTAATTTTTATATTCAGATCATTGTTGGATTTTTGCTACTGGTCATGCAATCAAAACCCTGCACAACTTCAAAAATCCGAACAACCTACAATCACTTTCACCACAAGATTTGGTGAACAATGTGGCAATAGATTGTAAAGAGTCTGTTTCATCTCTAAAGAAGGTTGCGAAATGACTTATTGACCAAAAAGGGAAAAGAAGTGACATCGTTTCAAGAAGACAAGTTTCATACCATCCTCACCATAAGCACCCAACATTAAAAGAGACAACGTAAGATTATTCCATATTTTTATGTGTGTGTTATAGGCACACCTAAAATATATTATACGGAATGTTCCTATGTGTGTAATAGAAGTTCACATTTTTATCCAAAAACTAATACAGGTTTGCAGTTTTATCCAAAAACTAAAAGAGGTTGACATTTTTATCCAAAAACTGATGGCAGATACATATTTATGGGCTAATTAACATTAGTATTTGAATATTTATTTAAACCACCATGAACTTTTAGCGAAGATAACTCTATTCTGAGAAATGGTTTAATCTTGGTGTATTAGTTTACTCGAGTGATATAGTAAGTTCACTTTAACCATTACAAAACAATGAAACATGAATCCATTTTACAACTGAAGATTGAAGTTCAAAGTTCCATGTTAGCATATAATATCTTCCGTATTTATATACGTGCAAACATCAAAACTTGTTTATTAATAGTATTGGAAGTTTTTATGTTGTGCATTTGTTCTAATATGTACTTGTGCTTACCTTACGTATTATTGTACGCAATAGATTTTATCGTAATCTTTTTTTTCTAGCTTTTAAAGTTGAAGGGATGACTTTCTTGTGAATGATACGGTGGGTGAAGTGTTTGTAAAAGCACTTCTAGACCAAAAAAACTCATGTGGTTGCAACATGTGATTTTCCACCATAATTTCTTCAAATTAAAAAGGTATTGATTTATTATTGAGTATTATTTTTTTTATTATGATATTAGTGTTGTTTTTATCATTGTTAACATTAATATTAGTATGTTATTAACTATTTTTAAATAAATAACTTTGTTGTCAGATTGCTATGAATAGACTACGTGCTTTTGTAACTAAGATACTTCGTAACTTTGTAATGATGTATTATAATTGCTCTCATGTAAGAAGGATGCTCTACCAAGGACCAATGAACCGGACATCTTCTTCATCGTCGTCCCGCAAACAAAGAAAAGAGAAATCTCAATTAGTTCATTGTTTTGACTGTCGATTATGGGATCGGCAAGAGGGGTAGAGAGTATTTCACGGTTAGAAATTCTCATGGACTTAAGTGGGGAATGAAAGGTATGCAAAATTCCCAGCAAACAAGAATATTTTTAAGACAATAGCATATCCGATCATGTGATTAAAAGAAATTCTTATATCAGTTTGGATTTGCATGTTGTGTATAAAGGTATCTACTTCAGCATTTTATGTATATGATTTCCAAGTGATCAAATAAAGATGACCGGGAGAGACGGCTAAGAAGCCGGTATGATGCCATCATTTAGTTGCACTTGCACCCATGGTTCTAAAAATCGGCCTAGTCGCTAGGCGGTGGCCGGGCGTCCTGATTTCGCTCTAATCGGTGGGAAAAATCGTTTCGCGGGCTAGGCAGGCGCCTAGTCGGCTAGGCGGGTGCCTAGGCGGGCTAGGCGGTGGCTAGGCGGCCTGGACTGAAAATTTTCCTGAACCAACTTTTTTCCCCGTTTTATGTTTAAATATTGTGTGATCACGAAGTATTCTATTCCTATATAATTTATTTTCATATTCTCACAATAAAAAAATAATTTTTAAATATAAATGAACCTTTTAGAATGTATTTTAAGATTTTAAGAGAGTAAAAAACACAAATATCTTAATTTATTTATTAATTATTTTATTATTGATGATTCTACTATAAAAAAACTTAACATCTAATGATTATATGAGCTATTTCTATTTTCAAAATATTATAAAATTATTATTAATATAATTAAAATTCAAAGGAAATAAAAAGAAAACAAAAACTAATGGAAAAATACCTAGGCGCCCTAGGCGCCCGCCTAAGCAGACTAGGCGCTAGGCGGCCAGTTACTGTCCGACTAGCGCCTGGCGCCTTTTAGAACACTTGTTGCACCTATGTATTCAAATAAATTTGTTATATTTTCTTGAGCACATTAAGTGGCTTCAAATTTTCAACATAGAGCTCAAGCTAGATTTATAAGCTTAGTTAAAGCGTGGGACGCGCCTAAGCTAGAGTATGACTCTGATAGTTAGGGGCACACATAACTCGTACAAAACATGGAAACTAGGGTGTGCATTAGATAACATTTGGATTAAGAGCTTATTATCGTGACACCCGTATGACGTGACCCGATGGTGTGAGATTTCATCACTCTACCGGTGTACGTGAGTGCTCGAAATTTATAAGTCTGTTTTTTCTATATAAAAAAATAATGATAATAAATTAGTAATTTAGCTCAACTTGTGCTCAAGTTCGTAGTTCGAATCCACCAGACTCACTCTTTTTAGGGGTATTTTAACGGATGACTCATTCCTCGAGATTGAAGTTTGATGCTATATTATTAAAATATTTTATTTTATGATTTTGCTTTGCACTTTTGAATCAATTTATGAATTTGACAAATTATATAAAAATGAGAGAAAGAGCACTTAGCTTAAGGATGAGCCGGACTTCATGTGTTGTTAAAACTGTGGCACATCAGCAGCTTTAAGACTCAATTTTGAGCTCCATGTAATCTTGGCCCACTGCTCCCCCTCTTGGCCCAAGTTTCCCAGCGGAGTCTGATAGCGAACAGTCCATGCGCTAGGAGGCCCTTCTTCAAAACGTGTGGCCTGCATTCATTTCCCGTAGCTAGGTTAGGTCTGGAGAATAAAGACAGCAGCTATTTTCTCGCCGCCAGCCGCCTACGGTCACCTTCATCAGGAAGAAAGGCGGAGTCGCTGCTGCATGCCAGAGAGGGCTCGCAGGCTTCGAGCGCCACAATCGCTGCTTCCTGGAGACTTTCTGTTATTGCCAGTCTGTAGAATAAAAGAGTAACAAGATAGCAGTATTAGTTAAGCTGATTTCCAATACCCAATCATACAGTCACTCACTCCTGAGTTTTTAAATGAATACTTAGACCAAATATTACAGAAATAATATTAAAAGATGCAAGTGTCGCCTACAAATGCTAGTAAACTACTCGGAAGAACCAACTTCCTAATCACCCAAATATTCAAACCCTCTGTTGTTTATACCCGTCTGACACCTTGAATTGGAGTGGATGTTATTGCACTGAGATCTGAATTAGTAGTGGGACTAGTATGTTTAGGCTCGACTCTAAAATAAAACTAGATTAGTTCTTGTATCATTTTTCAAAGAAGGCTAAGAAGCCATGTACAAGTTGCTCACAAGAAAGTTATATTCTATTTGGCCAAACATACTGGTACCACTACTAATTCAGATCTCAGTGCAATAACATTCACTCCAATTCAAGGTGGCAGACGGGTATAAACTGGTAACACGTATATATTAATAGTGTCAAGTTACTTAACTCTTGATTTGGGTGCAAAGGGAGCACTACTTTATTAGTAGTATATAATTTAAGATTTTAACGCTTTAGCTTTCAAAATCAATTGAGACAACATTGTTCAAGTTTCTTTTATTTTGAAAAGTAACAGTTCAGAACTTCAAACACTAAAAACAGGTATCTCTGATCAATATAACCTATGAAATTAGACAGCAGTATAACTATTGACATTATTCATGCTTGTACTATTACAATCCATAATAGTTCTTCAAAATCTACTCTTCAAAATTTACAGCCATCCATATCTACATAAACGGAAATGCTTTACTTCGAGCGTTTCCTTCGTTTCCATCCATGGGTTATGTACAAGAAGCAAGAGAAAATCATGTTTCCATATTAGAACTCAAAACTCAGAAGAAGATAATTGGTGAATACAAAATGCCTTTTCGTATTCAGATGAATTGAGAAGGCCTAATTTTTGTTCATTCAACCCATTGCTTCGTGCCCGTCGAATGCCTCTTCTAAGCCTCAACTCTTCAAGAATATTCGTCGCCAAGAGCCCGGGAATATCGATTAGGTATTGGAGAGTGGAGACTGAAGACCTCTCCGAAACTGTAAAACCCTATCTCTTCTTCCGCTCTTCCAATCCCGCCCTTCACAATTTGACATTTCCAACAGGGCGACACAGTGGAGTTTGGAGTTCGGGTTGGGCTAAAACTCTTATTAGTCGGGTGTACAATTGGGGCAGTGGGCTGTTTTTGACCCAAGAGGCATAATTATAGGTATATGTAAATATATATTAATATGATATTACGGTATTTCGGTATACCGAAAATTGATACGGTACATACCGATACCATACCGAAATAGTTTGGTATGGTAACATACCCTACCAAAATTTACGGTAAGGGAAAATTTCGGTAAAATTGGTATTTTTCGGTACGGTAAGAGCGGTATTTCGGCCGTTTCGGTATTTTTTTCCCAGCCCTAGGCCCAATAGTCTAAGTTACTCTATCAGCAGCACTTGCTTAAACTACTTGGGTGTCGAAATAGATGAAGTCCTAGCAACAACTATCTATTGGATGAGGTTTGGATATAATCATTAGAATGAAGCAATTTAAAATAGCACCAAGCTGCGCTGGAGAAACAATGAAAAGGATACTACCTTTTGAGTGCAGCCCCTGTTATTATGGATTTATATACCTTTTCTCATGTTACTACTTCACTTGAGATCAATGGCAATGAATTGTCATAGTCATCCTTCTAAGAAAAAATTCCACTTTTGGTCCTATGACTATTATACCACTTCCACATTTAGTCTCTTACTTTCATATTGTCCACATTTAGTCCGTGACTATTATCCCCTCACCCCCCTCGTCCTTCTGGCCAAAATTCCGGCAAATTTAGTCCACTTATCAGCCTCAGAATCAGTTTTTGCATTAAATTTTATATAAAGATGGGTTTTTCAGATCAGTCTTTGCATTAAATTTTGTTTTTCATACCTAAAATCTGCATTAAATTTGCCGGAATTTTGGCCGGAAGGACGAGGGGTGGTGAGGGGATAATGGTCACGGACTAAATGTGGACAATCTGAAAGTAAGGGACTAAATGTGGAAGTGGTATAATAGTCACAGAACCAAAAGTGGAATTTTTTCTCCTTCTAATTGTTTTCTTTTAAGAGCATATATTTGACATGTTTGTAATGAAGCATTCAGGGACAAATTGATATGCCTCGTAAGGTTGTTGAACCATAGTTAATTCATTGAATTCAACTGATGATTGTGTTGTTAAGAAGATTGGGAAGGGTGGGTATTAGCCTATCAGCTATCATAATGTATTACCTTTTAAGTTTAATTGAAACTTTGAGCTAATTTAATATCCAAGCAGCCGGCTGCAATATAATTAAGATTTAAATGATGATGGTGATGATTGATTCATATGACAAAGACACGATCTATCTTACTAACATTTGATTTTTTATCTCATGCTTTGGGTTAAACATTGCTTTTTAACCTCAATATTTTTTGTGGGAAAGCTAACACCAAACCCCACAATAAATTTGTTTGTAAAGATAGTTTAGAGGCTTTCTGCTAATTTGTGAATCATGAGAGAGATTCAAGAGTCCATTTCCTAATTCAGTAGTAAAATCACAAGCTTGCTAGGTTGATATCATTAGGGTAAGGAGCAATTCATATATTTGGGATGCTGTTGCTAGGAAGTAATCTCCAAAACAGATTTTAGTCTTTTCTCCATTTTCCCTTGTGAATCGCAGTATTTTCGTTATGCTGCTACCTAGCTCTTGCTTCTCCTTATTGCAAGTCATGTGGCTGTTCTCAAAATATTACAAATAAGGTCAGAACATCGAAAGAATGCCCTCAAACACAACCTGAATTCGTTTTAGCTAATGAGCTTTTAGAGGTACAAAAAATTCTCCATTTCATATTGTGCTTGTGTTTGTGATATTTTCTGGAAATTTTGATTCACTTTCATGCATAATTTTGTCTCTGTAATTTCAAATCATGTGTGAGTTTTGATTTACTTATATTATTTGATCATTTGGTGGTTTTGAGATTGAATACAGAATTCTTCTTCCTAATTTCAGGTTGTTGTCTTAATTTTTTTTGCTTTTTAGATTTGATTTGATTTTAGGTTAGTTTGACATTGGGTTTGCTGCTTTTATTCAGGTGTGAAAAAGTAACCTCTTTGGTTTCAAGTTCTTGTATTGATTTCAGGTTCTATAATATATATATATATATATTATATATATATATATATGGGAGGTTTCCTATCGGCAAATCTGTTTTTCTTGGTGGTGGGAAGCAGGTTCTAAAACGACCTCTGATATTTATAAGCATAACCTCCCCGGGATAATTATGTGGCATATATGGAAATGTTTTGCCTCAAACACATGGGGTGATGGTTATTCTACTTTCAGTTCACAAGCTCTAATGAAGAATATTAAGGTATATCTCTATCACTGGGTCAGTGGTATTGACCTTCCAAAAGGTAGCCCTCCTCCCGATTTTGTTATCCAAGAAGGTCTTTGTCCGTTTGATAAAGGCAAACATGCTCCTAAATTTCTTAAAATAAACTGGAAGAAGCCAAGGAGTACCTTTAATCTGAGAGTTGATGCCGCCTTGAACAATAGATCTTCGTCTGGTGGTGCTGTGCTCAGGGATGCTGGGGGTAATTTCATTTTCGTAGGCACCTTTCCCATTAAGGCAAGCTCGGTTCTGGAAGCTGAGATGGCCGCAATCTTCGTAGCTACTCATTGGTTGAAAGAGGCTGGTTTCTCTAACGTTGAGGTTGAGACCGATTCTCTTGCTGCAGTTTCCTTTTTTCGGCAAAATCGAGACTCAACTAGCTTCAATCATCTTACTCTTCCTGTTAAACGGATTGCTTCGGACCTCAATTTCTCCTTTCAGCACTATTATAGAGAAGCGAACGTTGTTGCTCATCTGCTTGCTCGAGAGTATGCTACATCAAGAGCTCAGATGACCTTTCTTCAGGCTGCTCACCTTCTTGTTCGTATTCTGGGGGCTATTCACCTGGACGCTGCTGAATGTCCGAATATTAGGGTTTCCTAATATCTCTTACTCTCCTTTCCTCTTTTGTCCAAGTATTGTTTCTTTAGCTCTTTGTATTTTTTTAATGGTCTCCTCTCATTTTTCATTTTCAAAAATGTTTTTTATTGGAGGAATGCTTAGAGGTTTTGGTTTGGTCCCCTCTCTCGTGTACTTTTTGATTATTAATAAACATCGTCAAACGTTATCGGCATTTATCCCACTACTTTTGTTGATTTGCCTTTCGGGTTAAAAAAAATACAAGAATAAAATTTAGTCATTCACACATTCAATCTGAGGATCATAAATACAGACACATATTACACATTAGCTTAGCTTATTAATAGAAAGAATTTAATGATAGGTAATATTATTCTAAATAGAAATTCCATAAAGGGTATTTTTGTATGGAATTATGCTATTAATTAAAGGTCTACTCGTCCATACATCAACCACTTTTTACTTTCCTTTATGAATGATCTTTATTTAGCAACAAATAAGTGGGAACTTGGAATGCTCAATTTTCATGTACACGTACATTAAGGGCAAAATAAAATAACTTTTATATTATTTATTATTAAGTATTGGCACTTAATTTTATTTAAGTGCATCTATATGTACTTACAAGTGCAATAATAATGAACTTTTTAGCTCCTATAAAATGTATTTTTTATATTAAGTGGATGCACTTTCACTTAAAGCATATGCGCTTTAACTTTTAAACTGCATTATATGCATCATATACACAAATTATTAAAAATCTTACATTGTACACATTTTTTTCTTCAAAAGTGCATCATAACTACAACTTAATAGTATGCACCTTAATCGATTAGTTAAGTGCACTTTATATGTTTTTTACGATAGTAAATATATTATACACTTTTGTAGGTTCTGTATAGCAAAAGTGCATGTGCACCTTTATACATATTATTATAATATTATGCACTATATTTTAATTTAGGCATGTTTAAATTTTCAAGTTGGTATATATTAACAATTGATAATTATTTTATATTCTCAAACGAGTTGACATAGTCATGATATTTATTTTCCATAGTATTTGTTTTTTAAATAAAAAATATTAAAAGTACATAATTTGAACTATAAAATATGATATCTACAAATTCAAAACATATACTACCTCCGTTCTTAAATAAGTACAGCATGTGAAATTTTACCCCGACAAAAAACTTGAGCCGCAAAGAGTGGGCGAGCATCATGGCAGCGCAGATTGTGGTGGACTACATTTTATTTATTGATGTATTAATATATTTTTTTGAAAAATATATTATTAAATTTATCTCATTGTAAATTTTCAAAAACTAAATTTTTTAAATTTTTTACTAAAAGAGAATTATAAATATTAATGGTCAAAGTTGTGTCTCAGCAAGTGTGAAATGTTGAATGTTGCACTTAATTAAGAACGGAGGAAGTAATAAATAAACCCCAATTAAAATTTGAATTCATAGCTACACGTAAAAATACAGGAATGAAACTAGAAATATTGCCCTAAAAGGGACTAAATTCTTCCTGAAACTCTTAAATAGGACTAATCATATTTTTTTGCCCTAAATGGGACTGGATTACCCATTTACCCTTATTCTTTCCCTTTCCCCTCTTCCTCACCGTTTCTTTTTCTCCCCGCGCATCTTCTCCCCCTTCCCCATGCGCATCTCCCCCCACGCAATACACCTTCTCCCTTCCCCTTCGCACTGGAACAACCAAAGCTTCGAGCCTGCCGCCGCTGACGTGAAGTCCTCCGCCACTGCACAGTCATAGCCATCACCGTCGCCGTCGCCGTCGGAGATCTTCTCTTCTTCGAAGGTAGGTTCTCTCCTTCCTCCTCTCTTCTCTAGTTCTCACCCTTTTCTATTTCGTTGCAGATGCTCGATTTCTTCTTTGATTGGTAAAAAATACCAAGTTCAACACTGAAAATGTCATCAAAATGGCATTCTTATTTTACAAAAATTTTGTATTTTCCTTTGAAAATGCCATTACAATGGCATCCCTGATTCATCTTTTCGTTGCAGGACCAAAGCTCTGTTTCATATTTGGTTGTTAAAAAATTCCAAATGTCCCTACTTCCGTGTAGGTTAGAGCAGACCTCCCACATAAAACGCACTGTGTAATACCCACAAGCAGTCACTCCAACTTGTGTTGCACACTTATTCAAAATCATTAAACAATGGTAAGATAATTTTATAATGTCAACAATTTACATCATTTAGCTTTTTAAAAAATTGTACCTTTAAATCTTCCCATTGGATACCTTTCTTCTTCTCATGGTGAACTGAAGCAAACTTAAACGCACTACAACAACAATAATAAAAACATTTTATTATTAATTAAACGAACTAAACGATATGAATTCGAATAATATATCAACGTAATGAAATCTACAACTATTGATATTAAAGATGATGCATGTCAAATAATCTCAAAATACTATAATGATGTAATAGTATTATTTTTTCTGTTCCTCTTACATCGCTAACTCTCTTTTCAAACTTTTTACATCACATGATCCTGAAAGTGAATCCATAATATAGCCTTTATGCATTGAAGGACAAATAACAACCAACAACCAAGAAACATAACAATGATTAAAGTAATACTCATAATAATATGTAATTATTATCCTTGATTATATGGCAATGAAATTAACCGCTTGTCAAAGTGATCATTTAAATTTCTCATCAGGTATGATGTAGTGCTATCATAATCAGATTGGAATGAAGTATAAGAGCATGTCGAAGGACATAAAAAGGCGATATCATCAAGTGCAATTTCTTCCAATTTCGACGACAAACAACTTGAATTGTAAAAGTAATTAATTAATGTCAAATAACATTAAAGTACTATGGTAGAAATAAAAATTATAAAATGTAATATAGTTGAGAAAACTTACAGTATGAAGGCAAATATTATTCCCATTTCATGAGAATCACACTCTAACAACTCCTTCAAATCCTTCCGATCAATGATAGACCCACATGTGTCATAAATGTGGATTCAACTTCAGCTTCCATCAATGCTCCTCTTTCATCTCTTCACCAACCAACCTGCACACAACAATATATGAGGGCCAATCACAAGAAGCAGTCAGCAATAATCAAAGTAGGAGACTGTCTAATATGGAAAGGGAGACTATACTGGATGAAATCCTACTCAGTTCAAAAAGAGACATGTTTGTGGACTTGGTAGCTCAGAAAGGTGTTTTCACTAAACTGGCAACTCAATTTGAAGTTTCCAGAAGATCTATTTACAACATATGGGCCACAACCAAAAAACAACTCAAGAAAGGGGAGGGGTGGATGTAAGAAGTAGGTGGGCTGGCAATTGAGGCAGGAAAAAGGATTGAAGTGGATCTAAGCTCTATCTCTGGACTGTATAGAAGGACTAATATCAGGGCACTAGTTGCTGCCACTGCCATTCTAAAAACAAGTTTGCACTGATGTTTAAAAAAAGGTATGCTTAAAAGTCACATGAATGCTATTAAGCCTTTCTTAACAGATGCAAATAAACTGACCACTTCTGTTACATGCAAGTTGACAATTCAAATCCATGTAACCCAACATTTCAGAATTTTCAAAATGTGATACACATTGATGAGAAATGGTTTTTCATGTCTAAAACTTCACAAAGGTTCTACATGGGTTTGGAAGAGCAGGATCCTCATAGGGTGTGCAAGTCAAAGATGTTCATAACTAAGGTTATATCCCTAGGAGTGGTAGGCAGACCTCTATTTTCAGACATTGGTGAAGTACTTTGGGATGGTAAAATAGGCATGTTCCCTTTCATTGAAAAGGTAGCAGCTAAAAGAAGAAGCGAAAATAGAGATGCAGGGGTGATGGAAACAAAGCCTATTGTTAGCATCACAAAGGAAGTGTTCAAAGACAGGTTAATCAACACTGTCTTCATCATCATCATCATCATTACCCCAGTGCCGCAAAGGCTCCCACCTACGGTGGGGTAAGAGGGGGTGAGATGTACGCAGTCTTACCCCTGTGCTAAGTACAGAGAGACTGTTTCCGAATGACCCGTAGTGAAAATCGCGTCGAAAATTGCATAGGCTGACCGTTACTTCATAACAAAGAAGCGCAGACAGTTTAGTGAGCCATTTTGATTTATTCCATCATATTCCCAAGCCAAAAAATAGTGAGTCTTTGGCTCCATTGAAAATGATGGCAATTAATCAACATTGTCTTACCAGTAATTAAGACAAAGGACATTGTAATCCAACAGGATAATGCAAGGCCACATGTCACGCCCCGGACCTACCCGGACACGTCAACAACCCGCCGTACAGTACGAATAGTCAACCGCAGTCCGACTCCTCCATACTATACAAGGCGTCTTGAATACCATTCACACATAGTACATCCATAAACAAACATAATGTAAAACATTTATTAAAGCAGCGGAAACAATTGATACAAGTGATCAAGCCACACTTGGCATAATTAGGCATGCAAGCCCCCAAAATAATTATTCAGAAAATATTATCCATGAGCATTATTCATATTGTTTTTTTCAAAACTAGAACGGGAGAAGCACGAACCAAGTCTTCTCCTCAGAAACTTCCCGAAGCGGCGGCTGGTGGTAGCAACCTTCAAGTTCTACCTGAAACTGTGAGGTGGCCTCCCCCGTGAAGGGGAGGTCAGTACTTGGAAGCATTTGACAAGTACAATGACAACTATACTAAGTATAATCAAAGTTTAAATCTCCGAGGCCCTCAACTAGGGCATTATTACATTATAGTTAATCCGTTCATTTAATATCAATTCATCATTATTTATCACGGTCTAGAGCCCAGCTCATAATCACCGTCATCTACTACGGTCTAGAGCCCAGCTCATAATCACCGTCATCTACTACGGTCTAGAGCCCAGCTCATAATCACCGTTATCTACTACGGTCTAGAGCCCAGCTCATAATCACCGTTATCTACTACGGTCTAGAGCCCAGCTCATAATCACCGTTATCTACTACGGTCTAGAGCCCAGCTCATAATCACCGTTATCTACTACGGTCTAGAGCCCAGCTCATAATCACCGTCAT